CTCCTCAAATTACAAATTAAGACGTAACTCAGCAATATTAACTGATTTGCTCAAGGTCACCCAATTTGCTAAATGACATTTGGTTATCAAACATAATACTTCTGTCTTTCTGGCACTGCTATTCTATAAGGTGGCTTTCCTCTTGGATTGTTTTTGAAAATCATTTTGGAAATCATCTCCAAGGTGACTTTGAGATGAGCATTTCCCCTATGCATTGGATTTATATCACATACGTTTGGACAAGAGAAAGCAGGAGAATCAGGTCACTGGCTGGATAACCCATAATCAGAGAGACCATTCAACTGATCATGCAGAATACTTACAGGAGTGAAATGTGTGTGACTGTGTGTGTGTGTGTGTGTGCACGCATGCACACACATGCGCATGCATGCATAATTTTAATAATTATGCCAAGACTATCGACATAAAGCAAGAATCAGGCAAAGTTGGTGCAGTTAACTCCTTGAGACAGACAGCACTATTTGTTGCAGTATTATTGGGCCTTGAGAATTTAGTTGATGGACCAGCAGATGGTGTAATGGTTATATTGCTGGACTCCCACGTAGTCGACCACAGTTCGAGGCCCAGATCCAGTGGCTTAAAACTCATGCTGAGCATGTGTGCATATCTGCCCAAAATCCCGAGAGGAGATGAGAAGGGATTGCGGCATGACCCTTCCCCCCCGGGGGTGATTTCTCATTTTCTGTCTCTCTGGCAAGCACACATGCCCTATAGCAAAACTATTTCTTTTTTTGGGGAGAGGTTTTTGCTATAGGGCATGTGTGCTCACCAGACAGAGAGAGACAGAGAGACAGAAAGTGAGAAATCACCCCCCCCAGGGGGGATGGCCACGCTGCAATCCCTTCTCCTCCATTCTCCTCTCAGGATCTTGGGCACGCACGCACATGTACCTGGCGCGAGTTTTAAGCCACAGGTCCGGGACGCGAACCGTGGTCAACTACATGGGAGTCCAGTAACATAGCCATTATGCTAACTGCTGGTCCCGCAAAAATATTGCTTTTAAAAAAAACGTTAGTTGATGTTCTGGTGGATTATGGATCAGATCCTAATCAGGCATGTGAACTCACAGAGAGAACAAGAAAGCAAGCCCCCAGGTCCAGGACTCGAACTGTGTGCATGCACGCCCAAGATTCCAAATGAAGGGAGAATTGGAGAAGGGACTATGGTGTGAACATCCCCCATGGGGGGGGGTGCTTTTTTTTCACTTCCCTCTTTCTCTTTCTCTCTCTTGCAAGTACATGTGCCCTCACCTAACATTAAAAAACAAAAAACAAAAAAACAAAAACAAAACTCTGTCTCTCATTCACACTAGCTATATTTCAAGTGCTGAAAAGCCACCATAGGCTATGTGAGAGTCTAGCACCTTAACCGCTATGCCACCTGCTGGCCCTGGAAATCCCCATTTTTAACATGAAATCTCCCAAATGTTAAATATTGTTCCTTATTTTAAAAATTTAAAATACTGTTTAGACCAAATAAAATGTAGGTTGCCAAAAAAGCAAACAAAAACAAAACACCACAAGTATTCATTTTTGCACCAAAATGAACTTTTACTTTAATTTTATTTTTCCAAGAACACTCTCTCTGTCTGTCTCTCTCTTTCTCTTTTTAAATTGACAGAAGGTGTGTGCACTCACCAGAGAGCAGGAGACAGGGAGAGAAAGCACCCCCCCAATGGGTCATGGTCATGCTACCATCCCTTCTCCTCCATATCTCCATCCTGTGAAGATTTGGAGCATGCACACACACACACAGACAGACACACATGCGCACACATACACACACATACATACACACACACACCCCTGGCATATTTTTCAAGCCACCAGGGCCAGGATTCAAACTATAATTGCTATCTGAGATTTGACTTCTTTAACCACTAGATATGGGCTTGGCCCTTCTATGAAGTTTTCAAAGTCCCCTCTCTTATATGCATAGCTTAACTATATGTTGTGCTTATCCCATGGGGTATTTTCGCATACTCCCAATTAATTATTTTTCTTATTTTCATAAAATCTGGAGATTACTATGTATCTCCCAATACCATGAGAGAACCTAAAATCTATAATGTTGATGATGCCATCAGGCTACAGGCAAGAAAGACTCAGCTATCAAGGCTGGAGAGCTGGTGACCTTTGTTATGCCATCACAAGGCAGAACACACACCAGCTGTGACTTTACTCAGGGGAAATGGCTTGGCAATATTCATAATGATGCTATGTGTTGGTGGCTTCTTACTGCTTTTAGTAGTCTTTTGAGAGACATGAGATAGGGCTGAATTTAGCCAGTCTGCAAGCAGGGCTGAAAGGAAATAGAGTTTTGCTAAGAGACGTTTCTTTTGCCTGCAGACCTGAACTCTTAAATTGAGTAAGACGTCCTTACTTTGGGACCTTGCAGGGTTAAAATCGTCAACTTCTTTACCCAGAACTAAAGCAGATACAATGGATAGAGACAAAGCAGTAACTTTCAGAAGAAACAAGTAAATGCCCAGAAGTATTTTTCAAGCTTTCCATTAAGCATTTACCAGCAGATAATGAAAGCCAATCCAGACGACATCTTATTGAGACTATTACCTTTACCTTGACTCACGAAGCCCAAGGGTAGTTGATTAAATAGAGAGGGAGGAGCATTGACTGAACAGAGTCTTTAGGCTTAAAATTCTCTATAGCTGCTCTAATGTGCTAGAAACTAGTCACATGTGGAAACTTAAACTGAAATTCATTAAAATGAAATATGACTTAAGAACTCAGTCTCTGGCCAGCCAGTGACATAAAGTGACCGGTACCCTACCACAGCAGACTGTGTGATTTGAGTCCCAGAACGGGTGGCTTCAAGAACACACCAGTGTGTGCGTGCACGCCCAAGAGTCCAAACGAAGGGAGAAATGGAGAAGGGACTGTGGTGTGAACATCCTCCATGGGGGGTGCTTTTTCACTTTCCCTCTTTCTCTCTCTGTCTCTCTCTTGCAAGTACATGTGCCCTCACCCAACATTAAAAACAAAACAAAACAAAACAAAAATAAAACTCTGTCTTTCATTCACACTAGCTATATTTCAAGTGCTGAAAAACCACCCTAGGCTAGTGGGTATTATATTCAAGGGTAAAGCTATAGAGCATTTTTATCATCCAGAAAATTCTATAAGACAACATTGGTCTAGACTAGGTGTTGGCAAATTTTTTCTGTAAAGGGCCAGATGGCCTCTAAAAGAATGGCTGAAATGGAAAAAGTGCCACAGAAGAAAGGGAGAAGGAGACATTTGGACGGATCGGAAGTGGAGCTGCAGAAGGACTCCTTCAGAATCCTTACTCTCAGAAGCCCTAGCCCTTTCAGCCTGAAACCCCAGTGAAAGCACAGAGCTCATTTGTCTCTCCTGGGAACAGACATAGCCAGGATGGGCTATCCTTGTCCAACGCTTAGCAGTTGAGCCCAGGTCCAAGTGGCCCTTGGAATGCTATATGCCAAGCAAGACTGCTCTTGGCTCTCCATGCTGGCTGCACTGGTAGCCTGGAAGTCAGGAAACCAGCAAGTTTGCATTTTCAAGACCCATGCCAGAAGGAAGATTAACTGCAGTGAGAAAGTTGAGCTCTAATCAAGCTAGTGAGGGCAAGAAAAAACATGGATTCAATGAACAAAGTCTTTCTAAATTTGTTGTTTAAGGAGAAAGTATACCTTTGAGTTTTCCCAACTTCAAATATATTCTTGAGTAGAGAGCTTTAAAATGTGAAATATTTCTTTATTCCAAAGGAAATTTCCTTTAGCGTGGAAATTTCCCCATTTCAAACCATTGGGAACTATCTTCAGACTTAAAGTGGGATCTTAGCTTCAACTAACATTATTTTAAAATTTGAAGGCTCAGCATTGAGCCAGGTCTATGTTTTAATTTGATCGAAATAATCCATGTTATTTTATTTTGCCTTTTTCCTTTCTCCAATGACTGCCTGATGACATGCATTTTTCAGTAATTTGATTTGTAAAA